GAAATGCAACCTCAGATTTCGATGATGTTGCGAACTTGTGCATATCTGAAATTTTTTAACAAATTAATAGAATTCTCAGTCTATTGACAATTTTATTATGGAACTTTGTTATTCTAAGACGAAATTAGCTACTAAACAGCAAATTTCTTAATTGACATTTCGATTTCAGCGAAGGAGAGAAACGCATAGAGCAATTTGAAACGCAAGGTCGACTTTCCAAGTCGGTTTCGCTATTCTTGTACCTTTCTAGTGAACAATGTGTAACCGGTGACGATTTAAGAGCAGTCTCGTTACTTAGACATACGCGTTAATTTAAAGGGCGAGACGAGACAGGGAGGAGGCAGGAGAGAGAGAGAGAGAGAGAGAGAGAACAGCGTGGGAGACGCGCGGTACCTTCTTCCATTCCACTCGTATTGCGGCCGATGGAAAGCTGAAAGTTTCATGAAAGTGCATCGCGTGATGACCGTTACGCGTTTTTCGAGGGGGAGCGGGAGCCTACCACCGCTTTTATACTCTTTCCGACCATTTAAACGCATTGTTCTCTTCACCGTGAAATTCCACCGAGGCCAGAAATTTGATTCATCATAAACGGAAAGCATAAACATAATTCAAAGTGTAGTAATGTATTCTCATATTATACGGTATAAAATTTCTCTTACACAGTAGAGTTATGTTTACCTCTATAGAAATATTATAAAATAAATTAGGCCTTTAGTCTTATCATAGTAAATCAATTCGCATTAATAATTGGAACCTTGAACTACAGAGTATAGTAACTTTTGGCAAACGGTATTTGAAAAAGAAAATTGATCGACACAATTTGCATCGATTTCTCGAGTCGAAAGACCAGAACGCGTGGACAATCGAGTGGAATCGGAACCGAAGAGAAAGAGAAAGAGAAAGGTGAAGTGCACGCGAAGTGCACTGGCGCGGTATGCACGTCCGGAGAAGAAAGTGCAACCAAGATGACGCGTGACCCCTTCCTTGCCCCGTTTCAACCAGCGATGGGAGCGAATCCCACGCAAATCATTTTTCGCATTAATACTAAGCCTCGTACAAAAGTACGTGCATGAAAATCGTGTCATAAATCATGTCTCTCTCATATCCGTAATCATTAATTATCTTACGACTGATAGAGAAAATAAAACGTTGACAATTACCAATTGTACCGCTATCTTATCATTCAGAACGATAGCAACGTCCGGGACGCACGATCGATTATTGCATAATCAAAACTCGAGGCTGTTATAGAAAGAAATTTATATTGTCACCATTCGCCTTATCACTTATCAGACCTACAATTATTATTAAATATCAGTCTACCGAGGAGAAACCCATTTAGAAACACTCGATCACGTTTCCAATCAGCGTTAATTGCGTTTTGTAATGTTTGACGTCTTTGTTTGCGCGTATAGCGTAACGGAACGCGATAACGAACAACCGGTATCTTTCTAGACTCCTAGACTATTAACCCATTAAATTTCTGTTGGATCATATCGTTTACTATGATTTCTGATTGTACCTGTCTCTCAACGATGAAAACATTTCACGTAAACGTATATTTTTACACACATGAGGTATTTATCTCGTTAACAAAAAGAAAAATTGGTGAAATTAGTGGACAGATTGACTCGAATCTATCGCTAGCCAGTATTACCAGCTCGGGTTCCATTCGCGACAACCTCCGACTACATTTGAGTATCTTCGCGTGGTACCTTGCCTCCTACCCGTTCCGCTGTCTCCCAACGAGCCAGGGAAGCGAAGGAGAAAGACCAGAACCTACCTCAAGATTCCATACCGCGACCTGAATCGGCCTGGCGAGTCTTATGACGAGGCACTTTGCTTTAGGAAAATACAATATACATGCGACTCTCACCAGCCGGCATTTACGCAATCGTTCACTGCTACAATAATAATCGCGATTCTATTAACAGGCAGATTAATTCCATTTTTTATACGTAAGTCTGTCGTTCTTTGATTCTATTTAAGCCATTCCAGGCGTCATGGATATTTCAAAACTGGTATTAATATCCGCCGTGATTGTTAATGCATTAGATAACTCCGATCTAGATGTACCGTAGCCATCGATTGGCGACAGATGTGGACGATAGTGATTTTAGTAGCGTTTAAAAAAAGCAAGCTACGCTGATAACGCGAGGCGGATTGGGATCGGTATGGAAGAGGAAGCCGATCGGCCGTGGTAACTGGAACGCGGTCTCTTCGTTTTATTTTGCTCGTAAATCGCTCGCGTCGTATTCAATTACCTCCGGTTGCGAGAGGGTTTTGCATTTCGCGGTTTTAGTGTGTCACGTGAAAGTTTCCGGCGCGGCGCGCATCGGTTCGGTTCGGATTCGGTTCCCGAGCGAAACCATGTCGTCCTCTCGTCGTAACGGTTTCGAATCGGCGAAACGAGGCTACCGGCCGCGGAAAAATCACCGGATACGCCTCGCCTAGAAAGTTGTCGACCGTCAGCTAACTTTGGCTTAACTCGAACTTGATAAGACAACAGCGCCTTGTTGGTTCTGCTTTCAATACTTCTGTTAGCATGTAAGAAATCGAATGAATCGACTGGCAAGAATTCTACATTGCTATGAATGGGTCGAGTAGCTGTAATAATTTACTCTTTTCCACGAGAGCTTGCTTAAGATGGGTCATTAGGGAAATTGTTAGCCAAGTTTCTTACGAAATTCCTGATTACAATCCTCTGTTATCCGTTGTGAAACGACGGTACAGAAGCAGGAAAGCTAAATAGATCGACCGGTCGAACGGAACGCGGTTTATCACTTCGTCTATTTACCGAGCGACCGATTAGATCTTTTTCATGGTTTCTCGCGTGTGGTACGCGTTACCGTATCGGTGATGCAACGACAGTACAAACGAGTTACGTCTTTCTCTTTAAAGAATTCGTCGAGGTAGAAACGATCGTACAGCGCGTGTAAATGATGACGTGTACAACGCGAATAAAAACCGAGTACCTTTGCTCTTCGCAGCGTGCATTCTGGAAGAGAGTTCGAGGTAGCTTTTGGACGTCGTTGTACGCGTCTAACCGCGACAGATACCGCGACTCGAATTATTATCGTTCCGACGGCGATGATTAAAGAGCCGAGCAATTTCAATAACAGAAAGCACGCGCGAGCGAAACAAGCAACGCGACCATTACGCCATTACGCGATCAGATCGCACAGACTCGGATCGGCCGCAGCGCGGTTATCAATTCGCCGACGACGTTGATTCAGCGGTGCACGTGTGAATTAACCGAACGAACGACCTCGGTAGGCTTATTACGATTTAAATCGACGACCTTGCCGCTTTTTTAAACGCTTTAAGAACGGAAAGCCTCCGGCTAAGACCGATTTGCGCACGCTTCGCTTCGGAACGAATACACGATTACGATTTACAATTTAACGAAATTCCAGGCGAATATAAAGAAAATTACATTTTTACGCAGCCTCTCTCTCGATGCGTGCACGCCATTTTTTAATTTCCCTATTCACGGCCGCGGCGAGGCGAATTATGATCGCTCATCTCGGAAGCGACTCGGTGACCGTGGTTGCGTAACGATGCTCGGAAGATTTTGCTCCGCGGCTAAGTAAAGCAAGTTTCCGAACCGGCCTTCGCGAAAATAGGCCAACCGATATATGCCGAAGATAACGATTTATGCTCGATAGCGAAGAACGAGGCGGGAAACACGGTCGTCGGGTCGTCACGTTGGAAACCGATACGTTCAGCCGCGATCAAACCCCCTGCACTCTGGGTATCTACGTAATTATGTAACGGGACAGGATAAGATCGCAAGGCCTGCCACCACCCGAGCATGTGTCGCGACCTGCAATCCTGCGGCTTCAATCGATCCAGAGCTCGATCGGTAGCCACGCTTATCTCGCCACGATTCTCGTCGACGACGTGCCGCCAGGACACGTGACTCTTGGCAAGTGACGTTACGCGTCGAGGAGAAGCGATCGAGAAATAGGATGACACTGATGAAATGGAACGAGCGAAGATACTTATAAGATATTCTCGTTCGAAACAGATTTGTATTTCTTTCAATGAAATCTTTATCGATTCTCAATTGTTTCTTTTAAACGCTGGGATTCGAGTCTACGTTCCGACGTTTCGATTCACTGACTGATTCATACGAGCAAACGGAAACAGAGCTCGGCGAGCAGAAAACGCACGTGCAACGTTCATAAATATTAGCAATCGTCGAATCGCAGACTGATAAAATAATGGTAGCCGCGCGTCAGACCGATTAACGTGTAGGATAAGCTTTGTTTTCATTCGAGGCAACATTAGACTGTGTCTGTCTCGTTAATTACGCAACGAACATCGTTTATCAAACCCCGTCGTTCGATATCGCTCTTGTAATTCCTCCGGTGAGCAAACACCGCGATGGTTCGTGTTCCAAGGACAAAAGACAGTCGAAATTCGACTCGCGGTATTCGGGACGCATTTTTGAACGGATTCCAGTCGACTCCTAAATACAACTCGAAAACGAATAAATAGAGTCGGAGGATCGTTCACCTATTTTTTCCGTACGCGATAGGGAATTGCAGTCGTGGCAAGGCGATGACGATGAACGAGAATGGAACTGAAAAAGGAGCGAGTCGAATCGCAGGAATCGAACTCGGCCCAATTACCGTGACTAAAAATCGAGGAACCGCACCGGCCGGAAATAGCTACATACTCGTAGTCAACGTGGTTACTTCCTTTTATGTCGTCGACGTGCCTCTAGTAGTAGTATTTATGTAACAATAGAATTAGCCGGTGAGTAGACCAGTGGGACATGGAATCGGATGGAATTGAAAATAGACGACGACGTCGCTCGGAACTCTCCACCGAAATAAACGCGCCGATCGAACGTAATCGATGATACGGCGAGAAGAATCTAATGATTCAGCAATTCTATTTTTCAATACTTTTTACAGTATATTAATATCGATTCATAAGATTGTAACTCACGTGGACATCAAGTATAATCGTGTCGATCTTGTCTCACTTACCTCTCTGAAACAGAAAAAAAAAAAGAATAATTAGACGCGTTAATAAAGTTGCAACGCTGTCGATAAAGTCTAAACGATTCTATGATTCTACAAAAAGCTTGGTTCTATATAAAGTTGCTGATGCAATGGCATCAGACTAAAGCGAGTCACACTGTCTGGTTAATTCCTGATTAGCGGAATAAGATTCGTGGAAGATAGAACAAAAGCCGAGTGACCGAGGACGAGGACGTCGAACGTGCGCACGTATCACGGCGGCCGTTCTTCCGGTTGACTCACGACCTGCCCCGATAACCGAATGTAATCAGCTTACGTGTCCACCGTCACGTAGAAAATGTAACGACGCGGAACGCGCTGTTCATCGATTTATGCGTGGAAACGAAAGGGTCGGCTCTTTCTATCGATGATGTAAAGAACTAGTTACGGCGCGAGGCGACATGATGGCACGATTACCATTGCACTTATCATTTATTGCGGTGCGCCGCGATCGGACTAGCAACAATAATAGCGGTTATTAATACGTAATGCTCGTTATCGCGCTCGCTCACTCCCTCGCTCGGTGATATAACGCGTAAACATCGATTCGAGCCAAGGAGAACGATACTAGATCATACATAAGTACTCCTTCCCTCCGAGTGTTAATCACTTTGTTGCTTGTAGTTTACTCGGTGATCGATAGCGATGCCTATGTAAGTACAAGCATTTACACGCGGGAGAGAAATAATAATAACACTGTTACGGAGATAACGTGATGTCTTATGCATAGAATTGTTTGCAGCGTACGTGCCGAGATAAAAGGAACTCAAATAAGGAGTCTTAGAATCGAGTTTATCTCGTATCAGAAATGATTTGAACGGAATAAAGAGAAACGATCATCCTCTCCGATAATTTTCCCGCATTTCCCCGGCAAACCTGTAGCCTTGGAGGCCCGCGTCCATGAGCGCGATAGAATTTTCTTCGATCCACGTCACCGTTTTGATCACGCGATTGCCGTAATGTAACAGATATACCACCTGCGCGATATTTCAATCTCGCCGGGAACGAATTCTTTTCTCTCTTTTTTTTTTTTTCTTGTGTCTACAAAAGGCCTGGTGCGTCAGATTTTTCAAGAACGATAGCGAAAGGAAAATGGAAACGATCCGTAGAAAATTCCCTTCCTGGTGAGGATCGTGTCACGCTGTTTGCAACGCGATCACGCGACGAACACGTGAAGAGAAATGTATCTTCAAAACGAGTTCATCGTTCTATTGTTCTGTCAACGGAAAATTTCGTTGATAACTCGAGAACAATTAACGAAACATGTATTCCTAAACTCGGTCGCATAAAAAAATTCCATGCTTATGTCACGATTTCATAAGTATTCAAAGACTGAGGCTCTGCATATGAAAAGTAACTTACTAATTCCAATATAATTTCTCTTAAATTCGTTGCGCACAAGAATGTATGGAGTAAACTGTAACAGGAAGGAAAGGGTTAATTTGTCTATGGGTCTCTAAACGTTTTCGTGTCGAATAATGCTAACGAGGAAGAGCTCGAGGTTCAAAGGGTTAAGTGGCTCCGACGAGACGCGGTACGCTTCCTGTTACCAAAAATATCGCGTACCATGTTGCGCAACTGATTCATTCGAGCACGAGTGGTACGTGACTATTGGAAATGAATTGCATAAACCTTCTCTACGTACAGATCAGAAACCACTTAGGACTGTTAATCCTATTTTCATCTGAAAACTATGTTAAAAATTGATTTTAAATCTTCTTCAATCAAATAAAAAATAAAATCCTCGCGATCAGATAACACAAGTATACAATTTCTTTCTCCTCCATGTGTAAAAATTCAATTTCTTGAAGTACTGTAATCTGAGTTACTCGATGATAGGATCTACTAATTTCTAGTTTTCATTTTTCTACGTACGGCAGAACATCGCCTCGATTTTAAACGCGTTGCATTTCACCATTCAATTTCTAGAGATAGAAGCGAGTACATAAATATGTAATCGCGAATTCCGCTGGAAAGCGAGGAACGCCGCGATTGTGTCAGTCACGCAGCGCGCAGCACTGACCTCGCGCACTTCGACAGCCTTGCGAAGCGCTTTTTGCCGCGGTGGCAACCGACAATAAGCAAGTAAGTATGTATGTAAGCACGAGGTGGTAATCACGATCCGGCCGCGTGCCGCGTTTCTGCTCTGGCAGCAGCTTTGTAACCGCGGCTTTTTCCCTCCGCGTCTCCGAGATCGTTTACCGTTATCGCGTCGTTAAAGACAAACGGTGATAAAATACGCATTGTAATTAGGCGAGCCGATCGCTAGAAATGTCACTGGAGATTTTTATCGCTCGGTTCACCTTCGACATTGTCTCTAACCGGTGCGGCGTACGCCTACGATTTACAATCGTTTAACTGGATCGATACATACTTCGAATGCTATGAAAACTTTGCGCTGTTTTACGTAAATTAATTAAAATAGAGGAAACGTTGCGTCGCAGTGGGAGATAAGAATTATTTTAGGAAACGTTATCTCGTGACGATTAGATAGTTCCTAGATTACGAGTGTTTGATAAAAATTCTATAGATCATGATAAAAAGATGTAAACTTCGATTACTTGCTATACACCAGTGTTACCGTTTTAGCGAAGGATAATCAGATGGATCGTCGCGATTTTAGATAGCGATGCGCGCACAGCGAAGAGTGTTAAACTTGGTCGATCGGCGCATAGTCGCGGTGGTTACGTTACATAACGACGATTATACAAGAGTTGCATGCTGCGGTCGGATCAGGGCCAGAGCGCGATATTACGTAGCAAATAAATATATAATTGGGTTGGCCACATATCGTAGGCTTGATCCAAGGCTGGGTCCATGACATAGAATTTCAGTGTTCTAACGCGCCACGGCGTGCATCTATCAGCCGATTATAACGGCGGTGTTATTACGAAATGAGCCGCGCGAAGAGGCTATCGGCGATGGCGGGGACAAGTTTTAATGGAGCTTCCTTCACGGTATTTACCAATTAGCAGATAGGGGATAATGTCCTTGACGTAATAGGCCATTAGTACTCGACGATGTTTAAATATCTCCAAATTAGAGAATCGTGTATCTGCTAAAAGTGTACTTGATAATTGGCAATGACTTTGAAACGGCAGTACTTGACATCGACCTTTTGAACAGATTTTTTTAACTAGGAGAACGATAGAGCTCGTTCGAAAAAATCAGGAACAACGTCGATCGGTTTCGTATTTAAACAGAGATAAAGCTTTGTCAGGTACTAAACACCGAGCATTATCTCTGGGTAAGGATAATCGTCATCTAGGATTAGCGGAACGACGACGCGATGAACAAGATGGATCTGTGAGACTGATTGCTCGCGGGATGACGTAACGAGAGAGGCTGGATGGAGATTACGATTACAGAGATGATCGCGAAGATCTACGCCGGCGGAACAATGGAATGTTTAATTGAATCGTCCATCTGAGAAACCTCTGGCCACGATTTTCTCACCGGATCGCATCGCGTGGAAATAGACTCACTGATACTCGGAACCGATCGAAACGATAGAATCTCATTCTAGCTGATGCAGTATCGATCAAAATCAATCGGCGCATCGTCTTACTTAAATTATAGAATGTAAATAGTGAAAATCTATTCTACTTTACTAGTACTTCTGTGCGATTAATGATAACGATTAAGGCTGCTGATTAGTACGATCATTTATTATAGATAGAAGTGCAAGCTATTTATCGTTTCAGACAGCGAGTCTCCATTGATATAGTCGCGCAAGCATTAATTTCCTCGCGTTTAGTTTCCCATTCACGATTTGGCGAATTAAGTGCAATAATAAACGAATCGATTCGTATCGTTCGATGAACCCTCGTCGAGTCACGTTCTCAGAACAAAATTGGCCACGTGTCGCGACGTCGAACCGAATCGAGTTGCAGATTTCGTTCGTTTCCAAATGCGTCACAGAATTCGATATCGTATCGAGAAAGCTCGAAAAACTCATATTCCTTGACACTCCGGGAAACAAGAAAAGGTTTCTATGTATATCTCTCTGACGTACAGTCAAACAGTTAATCATCCTCTGGAACAAAGCACGGATCGAAAACGAGAGAGAATGAACGTAAGACGAAGAAAGAAGCTGGCTTCCACGATTTTAATATTAATCGCGTGCGTATCCTTCGGCTCCGTTTTTCATTTGCGTCGACCTTCCTTTACTTAAACCAATCGTCGAACGTGTGGCTCGCGTTTAATAACAAGGTCTTCCTCGATTCTCGTACGTACGCGGTATCGGTGGTAATTCGTGTAAAAAGGAAAACAGACACCGGCACGTTCGTCACTCCGTGCCGAGAATTCGTGTTTCCACGGACGGCTTTGTTCCGCGCGAACGTCGCAATTAGGGGACGACGGCGGAGCGACGTTATATTATCGTCGAATCGACCAGCCGACACGTGCTGTAAATAATATCGCGGTGTAGAAATCGCTGGTGCCTGTTTTCAGCCGATTCGGAGATCCGTCCGTCGCGAAAAGGGCGTTCAACTTTTGTTTTTCCCCTTGCGACATCTCCGTTATCGGCGAGTTCTGTCGCAACGCGTTTCGTTATTTCGCGAGCGATAAAATTCTACCGTGGACGCTTGGAATTCGACTCGATCTACTTAAATCTTTTAGCGAATTTCAGGAATTCGAGAAAATGGAATAAATGGTTTCAGAAAAAATTGAGTTCCCAGGGTTATGAGACTGAACCGAACGAACTCGGAGAATGAGAAGGAGAGAGTCTGAAAGAGCGGCGGAGGGTTAGCGAGGGGTTTGGGGTGGGAGAGCCTTGGACACGCTGTCCTTGACTCAGCACAGTTACCCTGGCTCCAAGTGTGACGTCATTCTGCATAACTCGCCTAATTGCATCGTTGCTGCTGCTGCTGCTGCTGCACTCGAACACCACCCCACTACTCTCTTTCCCCTTTTCTGCCCCCACCAAACGCCTTCCGGCCATTCCGCCCCTCGAATCTCGCCGGTCGCAAATATAGTATAGCGAATCCCTTTCTGTACGCGGTCAGCTTCCTTCCAACTCCCTGTGAAGCCTTCCTGATAACCTCGACTTTAACTGAACAGTCTTCTACATCCCTTTCACCCCAATTCTGTTCAAACTCGAACCTAATTTGAACCGCCTATTATACATCAGCTCAAAGCTACGTTCAAAGTAAGTCGAATTAATCATTGCACAAATATAAGCCGAATGAACGAACGCGATTCGGTATCAAAATATCTTCACATTGCAACGACACCTAAGGTCGAGCGTTTTTAACACGCCGCGATTGAGTTATTCTGCTAGGCGAGCAGCGGGAGAAAAATTTCCACGGAACTTTATAGCCAGGGTTTTGATGACTCGATCGTCGGAATGGGGCGGGAGACGCCTTATTTTTAAATCGTGAAGGGGAAGTCATTGGACGCGCACGGTACGACCGTGACCGTGCAACGCGAGTGTCGAAATACTTTCCACTATTGGCTAGCTGCGCCTCCGCTTTTTACGTTTTACGCAGCTGCAGTCGCGTGCAACGCCACGTGCAGCCGTGATGCCACGATACGAATTTCGACGAGTCAGCGAATCGCGTCGTCGAACCTTGCCTCCGGGCGTTGCACGCCGGACCATCTCGAGCCTAAGTAGAATCGGACGCTTTAGATCACACGCGGCTGACACTTGATACGAAAACAAATAAGCAGCAGTACTTAGTGAACTGCATTCGCGGTATGAAACCGACGATTGATAAATGAATAAAAATCTTCTTTCATTTTAACCGGTAGTCAAGTGTACTGTCCAATAAAATGGAATTTATATTATTACACAGTTCATCCGATTTTCTTAACACGTGGACGGATGTTTTGAAATTTTTGTGAAAGAGCAACGACGATAAATTGGATTATTTAAAAAGGCGGAGTAATAGACGCTTCCGACACGCGGGATCCGTGGATGTTATTTTCGCGGTGAAAAATGCATCCGGTTTTCCTTGGTCGGTACCATTTCGAGAGTCGATCCTCTTTCCCGATGGGCACCCGACCCTGAACCCGTGACTGGGTGATCCGCGAGGTCGCGTCAGTAAAAATTAAAAAAAAAATAATCGAGGATGGTATCGCGTCCTGACCCTGGTATGGCACCATACCATACTAAAGGCAAGGCAGCTGGAGTCGTGAACGAAAGAAAAGAAAAGAAAAGAAAGGAGTCATCGACTCGCGTTTGACTTGGCCTTCGATTATTAGCAACGCAAACTGTTGTGTGCACGCTCGCCAACTGCACCTCCTGTGCCACCGAGGCGGACAAAGTATCCTTAAGATTCTCCGTTCCTCGATTATCTTAATCGATAAAATCGAAGTTACAAATTGAGAAATTAAATCGATACAATTTATGGTTTTCCTACTTCATCGGCAGTGAAACACGAGGCCCGTCATTAAAGCTAACCAGGAAATTGTAAATTAAGAAAAAATTAGATCTTTTAGATCAACTTGAATCTAAAGAAATTAAGAATATTGATATCAGTTAAATCGTGGAGTACTATACATTTGCTATTTAACCTACGCAGCTAGATCTTATCGAAACCTTGAGTAAACATAAAATCTTCGCATTTTTAATTCTCAATTAAATATTCGTTTACGCAAGACTGCCACGGGGATAACCTCGGCTATCAGAAAAATATTTTCCTCGCTCGAATCGCGTTCACGTCAACGTAAACGTAATTCTTCCCAGCATCCCGTTGGCAATCGTCCCGTGATTCATTGGTCCCACCCCCCGTGACGATTTGACCACGAGGAGCGCGCAAAAGGCGACGGATGTACGGGAAAAGAAGAAGCACGAGGTGAACCTCGAGCGAGAGACACAAAGAAAAGGGGGAGGGAATTATTATTGAAAATTGCGTTACAAGCGGCCGTGTAATAATAATCGGCGAACGATACTGACGTCAGCCCCTCGCGTAGCCGCGACCGCGCTCGAATATAATTATCTTTATTGCAACTCCTTTTCGAGGACACAATCGCGGCGCGTCGTGCGGCGTTCGATCCGTGAAAAAATGTTCAAGGACAAAGACTGCGTGCGTTCATCGAGATGCTAACAATAAGTGCACCACCGGGGATCGTGCGCACGAAAGATCCCGACGATCCGTAGGGATCGCCCGAGTCCCGTGAAAATCGTCTGCTCATAAAAGTCAATGATTAGTCTCTTTTTCGATCGTTAATCGTCTGTGATAAAGTCCCGAGTTCGTTCTTGGTAATTTCGGATATGCAAATAGGCTGCTTGTAACGAGAAACGCGGAGTTAAGTTGCGCAGATATGGGATGCGGCGCGTGTAACTGAGATCGCGGTATCCATCGCAGCACGTCGATGGAACGGTGCATTTCCAAGAATCGCCGTGGAATTGGTCGCTCTCGAGGCCGAAACGCGCGAGGATCGGGTCGGATCGGTAGGTTCGGTCTGGTTGGTGTTGGCAACGAGGAGAAGCAGGGAAAAGGGAAGAAGTGGACAGACTCAATAGGTGACCTTGACGGGCGGAGAGTCCTTTAAGAGCCGAATGGTCAACGTTCCAGGGACCTTCGGAGTCTCGTAGTCACGGACGGGCAAACTGCAGCCGAGAGCCAGACGCTCCCAATAAAGCTCGCTCGCATCTGCCTCCACGGTGCACCAGCCCCCTTCTGTCCTTTTCTTCCGCGCACCCTTCTCTCTCTCTCTCTCCATCGAACGCGGCCTGGTACCTTCCTCCTCGTCGCCTTCCTCGAACCTTCCAGTCCTCCTCGCCTCTCCTTTCTTCCTACCCTCCTTTGGTCTCTTTCTCACCGTGACGAAACTAAATCTGGCCGTTTCGCGGCACCGAGGAATTCCACGGCTACGAGCTTTTGCTTTCGATTGCCGCGATAACTCGAACGGGAACGGGACGTTTAGATGCCCAAAAACGAGAACGCGTAATTGCTTCCCGTGCAATGAAACAGTCTGGCTCGTGCAAACGGTTCGTAATCGTTACGCAAGGATAACTTTGCTGAACGCGCGTCAGGTACCCGCGTGTAAATTGAATTTCGCGAAGGGACAGGATCTCGCGAAACGCGACTCACCAGCGTTTCCGCTTGCGTTTTCTTTGTTACGGCTCGCCGCATCGGCGCACGCGATGCAAGTCCTGTCACGTAAGTAACGGCTAAGCGACGAGACGCGAGAAGACAATGCGTACGCAATCGCGTACATAATTATTGCTTGTCACGCCAACGCGTAAACACGTTCGATCGCAGACGCGTAAACCGATTCCCCGACTTCTAATCGATCAATTTGTTTTTATGTCTATCAAATATTTGTGCGATCGTAAGACAACCTGGTAATGGACGTGTTAATTAAATTGTCTTTCGGGGAAACGAAACTGAACAGGCGAACGATCCTCGTTAGATGACGCAGCGAGGCTCGGGCATTGTTTTTAGTCGCCACCGGTTTCATTAATCTTCATCAGGGATTCTAAGCTGGACGTAGAAGAAATCTAAAAGCCGCATAAATCTCGCGTCGTCGCCCGAGATCGGCCGATTCTCTTCCGTTTGGAAAAAATGCAAAAAGCGTTACGGGACGACGTGGAACAGCTGGTGACCGAAGTCGTACGAGGCCTTTTTACGTTTCGCAGGCATTCCGTTTCGCATGGAATTTCGGGATCACGGTGTTACACTACTTTAACTACACACCCTTTTTATTCAGCAATAATCGTAATTTAAAACAGCAAACATGAATTGGGTGACCATTATCGCGATTGAAATCGAAAGCAGGAAAAGCGGCTGACCTCCGCCAATCAATTAACTATGTGCTTAAAATGCGGATACGCGGAGGACATCGGGCGATTATGATAATATATTTTATCGCCTCGTATTATGTATTAATTCTATTGCCAAATGACGGAACGAATTTAACGCGTCACTGAGAACGTGTGCCTCGCTAATTATTGCCATTCGAATTTCCGGCAGTACACTCGTTAAAGTACGTTAAAACAGTCATTCGTCCCTTGGCAACGTCGCGAATACTAAGCGTATGATAATGTTTCTAATTAACGATGGACGAACGCCTGCCGGCAAATGGCTTCATATTAGCGATCGTTCGAAAAAATTCAGAACAAAGATCCCGTATGCGCGCAAGGCGAAAAATAGAATCTCTATTCTCCGCTCATTCCTCGCATGTATAAATAATCGTTTTCCTTCGACGCGTCACTCATCGAAGTGTTCGTATCCGTCACTGTGATCATGACAGATGTTCGATTTGCATTTCGCGACTATTTTACGAGGATATGGGTACGATTGCTCAAGTCGTCTTATCAACGTTGAAGAGACGTTCGTTTAAATGAGACGATCAATTTTCGTGAAACGCGAGATCCTGAAAGATCGTTCGAAGACCTACTGCACCGTAACGTGGATATGTAATATTTATGAAAACCCGATGGACTGAGCCATGATCAAGCGTAAAATCCGTGGCGAACGATATCTCGGCACGTATCCCGATCCAGGATGAAGCCATTAATCTCTGGGGCACAGAAGCAACGCGCTGTACTTACTTACAAGCGCGCGTGGAATAACGTGATACATAGGCGGTGGTAGCCCGGGAATGATGTCTTAGAGCCCGTAGGGGCGCCTTAACGTTTTACGATTTACCGACTGCGAAATAAAGTACCGTCGCCGAAGCAAGCAACCACGTCGCTAATGTCAAAGCACAAGAATTAACGGCCTAGCTTCCCTGCCTGTCCGTTCTTTCCCTCCCTCGAGCGCGCACCGCTGCCGTTTCGAGCTTAAAGGCACACGCACATTGCATCTAATCCTGATTACCTTTCAATCACCGTTTCCCTCGCAATTAATAAATAGGGAGTCATTTTAGAAAATTATCCGAGTTACATTTGTAACACGTGCAAAGAATTTCATGAATGAGTT